CAATTCTCATCGCTGTTCCCTTTATTCAAGGCAAAAGACTTTATCTTCTGCTTCAAAGAGAAAAAGTAACACCAGCGATCAGAAATTCAACTTCCTGATTTCCCTTCTAAATAAATTTGCACTCATAGCCATCCTTGCTAACTTCCACCATCAGTCCACATGGCCCTCTCCCCTGTTCTCCACAAGGGCCAAGGGCTCCTCCCCTTCCTAAGGCCCTCTCCCCTTCATCTGTGCTCAGATCCCACCCTGACCTATGTCTTTGGGGGCCTTTGACCAGTGATTGTTCCCTCTCTCTCCTGAGTCTTCTGCCCTGTCCATGTCCTTGTTCCAGTGCCATTTATATATCCTAACAGTAGTCAGCAATTTTTCTGTAGAAGATCACATAGTAAATATTTTCTTATTTTCAGGCCATATACACTCTTTGTACCCATACATACACACACACACACACACACACACACACACATACGATAGATACATGAGAGACAGTTTGATAGACTGACAAATCAACAGATAGATTAGATTAGATACGTACAAACTATAGATATAAAATCCGGTTGTATATCATATATACAATAAATGTATAAATGTAGATTCAGATAGATGTGGGACACATGGAAAACATTAGGACTAACCAATTGCACAAACCTCACCCTCCATAAACCTGAGGCCAGAAGAACTAGGTGGGGCCCAGCTCCCCCTGCAGACTGTCTGAATTGGATCACCAGAGGAGGTCCTGGATAAAGTAAGAGACAAAGGTGGAATGAAATTCATAACTATTTTCTTAAAAATCTAGGCTTACTGATCTGATGGAGACTTTGGGGACTATAACCTTTAGACACGCTTCGCTCCTGAACCTGAGCTATTCCCATGGCTCACCTTCCAGTCACGTAGCAGGAACACAGCAATGAATAAGTAGAGAGGGCTTTGGTTTCCGTTTCACGTGTTTTAATTCTACTTGTTCAGCCCCTCGTGGGGGGGTGTGGAGGGGGTGGTGTGAAAGGGAGAAAGAGAGAGAGAAGCACGAACTGGATTGCTAACCGACTGCTCCTCTGCAGAAAGACGGTGCTCTCTGCTCCTGTGGAGATGGACGCACAGTCAGGACGGGTCCCAGAGTCATAGAATCAGATCGACTCACAGAGTCAGGACGAGTCCAAGTGGACTTGACGCCCACCCAACCCACTGGCACTGTGAACAGCAGCTACTACAGTCGTGGAAGCCGTGCCTCGATGGGAGGGGACGGAATGGGGATGGGAGGGATGTCTAGCATGTCCAGTAGGAGTGATGAGTGGGGATTGTAATCCTGATCACTGACTCTTGGTCAGTTTGACAGTTTCGCAATACAAGTCTGTGATTCGTGCTTACTCTAAGGGGAAGTCAGGATTGTTTTTGAACACAAAACATGCACCCAGTTAAGCAAGTTTCAGCTTTTCTTTAGTTGTCAAATGAACTTAAGCAGTCGCGTATGTAGGTGAAAGCAGTTCAGGTATGTTAAATGTCGCTCTGAGACCACATGTTATTGAACAATGAATGCACGTTGCAAGGCGTGCCTTTTTTTTAATAAACAAAACTCAAGCATAGGAGCTGTGTCTACAATTAAAAAGTGAAGCATGTGGTATGTTTTAATTCTAGTATCATTTAATAACCCGTAAGGCATGTAAGTTTAAGGGTCTGGGGTGTTTTTTAAGTTAACATTAGATGCAATAGCAATACTTTTAGGATTGTGGTCTTGGTGTTTATATGACATTCTGAGGCCCTGATTGAAATCTCATTATACTGTGATTTACCTTTTAGGTGTATTGCGCTAAGTGAAACTTGTCAAATAAATCTTTCTTAATAAATAAATAAAATCTTTCTTTACAAAGATCACTGCCATTGAGTTGATTCTGACTCATGGAGACCCTATCTAGGGTTTCTGAGACAGGGAATCTTTACAGGTTGATATATATATTCATGTATAGTTTTTCTATATGGATATATTCACTTTTAGCCCACTGGTCATCCAAAAATAGGCTATGCTCACAATTTGATCTCTATGCTGTAGTTTTCCAACCGTTTTAGAGAAAGAAATGTAAGATTCTAGGGAAATGGTCACCTGAACATACCTTGCTTCCCCTCCCCATCCTAATCTATCTGTACCTTTGGGACCAAAAGACTTCTGGCTTGAGACTCCTGGCAGCTGAGTGGGATTACAGTTTCTGGGAGAATCCCTAAAAGGATGCCTGGAGTTGGAATTTCTCCCCAATTAGTCAGATGAGAGTGTGAGATAGGCCAACGAGTGTTCTGAAGGTAAGGACATGACACAATGTAACCTAGGAAGAGTCTGGGCCACAAAAGTCTATGGCCTTCTTGGCTACGGTCAGTGTGTGTGCGTGTGTGTGTGTGTGTGTGTGTGTGTGTGTGTGTGTGTGTGTTCTGTCCTCAAGAAGGAACCCTACTGGTATATCTGGAAGGAAGGAAGGAAAGAAGGAAGGAGTCTGGGAAGGAGGGGAGCACTTCTGCACACCTGCCTGAGAAACTGCTACAACTAAGAGTCCTCAATCCTTTATCTGAGCCCCAGAGAAAAATGACATGTGAAAGATCCCGCATCTGATGTAACTGAATTGACAGCCAACAAAATAGAGCTGATGGAGTAGACAGACAACAGCTTTAAACAAGAATAGTTAATAGTAAGAACTTAGGGAGATTCAAGTAGAGCACCTCAAAGGCTCTCTAGAAAGAAAAAGAAAAGGCAGGATTTCTGCACGGGAAACTGCAGCATTAACTAAAGAATTGGGTGGTTGCTCTCAAAAGCTAAATTCATGGTTTAAAAGACCAGGTGGAATAAGTATCTCAAAGCATGGTGCAAATTGCAAAGGGATGAAAATCATAAAGGGGAAAAATCAGACTAGGAGATCTAATGTGGGAAGAATATAGCTTTTTAATGAGTAACAGGAAGGGGCATGTTCAGGTCCCTTCTACCACACACACACACACACACACACACACACACACGAAACCCTCCCTCAACTTCTTCTCTTGCTTCAATAAACACTATATCACTCTTCCCCTTCACAGTCAAAATCTGGAAAGGTTGTTTACACTCTGCTGTCTCCACTTCCTCCCAACCACTCTTGCTCAACACACTTCTTATTCTAATACTTAAAAGACTGACTCAATGCACCAACGGCTTCCTTGATGTTAAGTCCACTCACTGGTTTCTTCTCGCTGTTATGTAACTTGGGTCACATTTAACTCTGTTGGTCTCCAATCTCCTCCTATTAGAGAAGCCAGCTTACCCTGCTTTGCCCAACCCTTCCCAGGTTTAGGAGCCCTAGTGGCACAGTGGCTATGTGTTGGGCTGCTAACCACAAGGTCAGCAGTTCGAAGCCAGCAGGTTCTCAGCAGGAGAAAGAGGACGCTTTCTACTTCCATAATTACATTCCCTTTTAATAAAGGGGGGAGCGTTACATTCCCAAAAAGAGTTACCCTAACCAAAGAACAAAAAAATCATATCATTGTGAATGAAGGGGAGTGCGAAGTGGGGACCTAAAGCCCACCTGTATGCAACTGGACATCCCCTTACTGAAAGGTTGTGGGTAGGAGATGATCTAGTCAGGGTGCAGTGTAGCAAAGATGAAACATACAACTTTCCTCTAGTCCCTAAATGCTTCCTAACCTCCCCCCCCTCCACTATCATGATCCCAATTCTACCTCACAAATCTGCCTAGAGGATGTACACTGGTACAGATAGGAACTGGAAGCACAGGGAATCCAGGACAGATGATCCCTTCAGGCCCAGTGGTGAGAACGTCGATACCGGGAGGGTGTAGGGAGGGTGAGATGGAAAGGGGGAACCGATTACAAGGACTTACATATAACCCCCCCTCCTTGGAGGATGGACAACAGAAAAGTGGGTAAAGGGAGATGTCGGCCAGTGTAGGATATGACAAAATAATAATTTACAAATTATCAAGGGTTCATGGGGGGGGGGAGAGCAGGGAAGGAGGGGAGAAATGAGGAGCTGATGCCAGGGGCTTACGTGGAGAGCAAATGTTTTGAGAATGATGAGGGTAATGAATGTACAAATGTGCTTTATACAATGGATTGTGATTAGAGTTGTATGAGCCCCCAATAAAATGATTAAAAAAATAAAAGTTACCCTAACAGTTAGGGCTGGGCTGCAGATGGAAACCTCCAGCTTCCCTGTGGAAGAAACACAATACTGTCTACTCTCAGAGAGAGCTATAGTCCTGTAAAGATTTACCTAGCCCTACAGAGTAGTAATGAGTCAGAACAAACTCAATGTCAGGGAGTTTGGTTCTTGGTCCCCTGTTCCCCTCCCCCATCCCCAGTCACAGCACTGAGAGTCCTACATCACAGGAGTCCCTTGGTCCCAAGCAAACTGGCCCCCAAAGTAAACACTGAACAAGGATTCAAATTCAAGTAGTTTATGTTTTAGGTGATTTGAACAGACACCAGGAGGTGATTGAAGAAGTGAGTCAGAGAAAGAAAGAGCCAATAAAAATGGCATTAAATGTGTGTCGCTGCGCAGCCGACCACTGTAAGCAACTAGAGCTCAATCCCACTGAGGACTTGGGAGTGGAGGGGGTGACGCCATGAAACCCACAGCTCCAGATCAACCCACTGAAGGTGTGAGCGAGCTAGGGTATAGCTGCACCAAGTCCAGGCGTCACAGTCTTCTCTTCCCTTCAAACGCCACAGCCACCCCAGCAGCAAATCCTATTGGCTGTGCCTTCAGATAGACCAGCCCTTCTCAACCTGTGGGTCGCAACCCCTTTGGGGGTCAAACGATCCTTTCACAGGAGTCACCTAAGACCATCGGAAAACACAAATATTCCACAATATACAATTGCATATTGTTTTGTGATTAATCACTAGGCTTTAATTACGATTAATTACATTCCATTTGTAACGATGAAAATACATCCTGCATATCAGATGTAGCAAAATCACAGTTATGAAGTAGCAACAAAAATAATTTTATGGTTGGGGGGGTCACCACAACAAGAGGAAGTGTATGAAAGAGTGGAGGCATTAGGAAGGTTGAGAGCCACTGAAATAGATGCAGGATTATTCTTATCTCCACAGCCCCTAACCCAAGCCTGTGTCTTTACTCTCTTGGATTATCACAATAGCCCCAAGGGAACCACACAATTAACAACTCAGCTAATTGTCCCTTAACCTGATGGAAACACAGCAAACTTTTTATGTAGAGAGAGTGGGAGTCAATACATGATTGTTTTCATCACAATTACCACATCGCACTTCTCCCATAATAAGTGGAGGAGACCAGAGTTGCAAGGTCAGCCCTCAGGAAAAATTGAAGTTTACAAATCACCTCTTGGAGGCCACGGGTGCTGCAGAGAGACAAACCATTGAAGGGAGGTAGGGCCCAATCCCAGCTCTGCCGTTTTCCCACTGACTAACGCAGACAAACCATAAGATCCCAGCTGTAAAAGGGGGTTTATGATCATTCCAACCTCACAAGGTTGGAGCATCTAGCAGTACATGGTCGATAAACGATGGGTATTCTTTTTCTTAGCAAAAGCATCCAATATTTGTTACCCTGGACCCAAAGTGGTTCAAAGGAGGCTTTTTTCATGTTTACCTCCCTGTCTTCAAGCAGATGATCATAAGAGATGTGGAAGTAAGGTAGGTTGGAGCTGGCTCCATCACGGGCCCCCTGGGTGACTCATACGTGTGACTGCCAGGCCCTGCTTCCTCATTTCACACCACACCGATTGCAGGATAGGGAAGTTTCTTTTTCTGAGGTGTGAAAACTTCCTCTAGCCCCAAAGAAGCAGTCACTCAAGCCAAAGCTCTCCTGGATGCAGGGCACAGAGCAAGATTCCCACCCACTCTGCAGGCTGTGGGCGGACTGTGCCCGTTGGGGTTGGGTGGTTCATGAAGAGGTCAAGGCCGAAAGAGAGAAAGCAAAGGGGAAGTGGTCCTCCAATTTCCCCCACAACCTCCTTTTCCCAGAGCCACCTCGCCACAATCATCTTTCCTTCCAAACAAGAAGGGCTCTGGTCTTGGTCAAGGACACCTGGTAAATACGAAACTGTTTGGAGCACATGCACTTGAGTTGTGCTCAGCTAGGGGCCCTACTGGCCCTCGAGGGATGCATGTGTCGGTTGTCATGATGGTAGGGGTGGGGTACTCCTGGCATTTAGTGAGCAAGGGCCAAGGACTCTAAGCATCCTGACACGACCAGAACTCTTCCATACGATGAAGTGGCATCTGAGGTGCACACGCATTGCAAGGGCTAACAGTCCAAGAGCGTCCACACAGAAGTAAAATGGACAATCATATCAAGGAGCTTTACCACCCACACACAACTTGAGAGGACCAACGTGCAGAGGCCACACTTGCCCTATAGACCTGACCATGAACTTCGCTCTGATCTGGGCTGCCTTTCTCGACTTTCTAAAGGTCAGAGCTCAGCAGAAGTCAGCTTTCATCACTTGGCTTGAGCGAACCTCACCAAGAAAATTGCCTGCCACGAACTTTGTCCCAACTGACTTCCCAGAAGCTGGTTCACACTGGTCAGCCACCGAGCCCCAGTTCATCCTGGGTCAGAGGACCCCGAGTGTCTCCGTCCAGAGTGCAATCTCAGACCTGGAACCTCCACCAGTTCCTGAGGACCATGAGAAGAAACCTGGTGGATGCCCACCAGACCCAGACTGGGAGACCATCAAGCCCTGGGCATCTGCCATCCATCTGGGGGAGCTCAAATGGTCCAACTTGCATCTCGGTGACTTGCTATAGCCACGCTCTGGATCCAATTGGGTTACATCCATGTCTATGAGGAGGCAGGGCCTCTGCGGAGGAGCAGGGGTACTCATCCCTATGAGTTGAGGGGTGCTGAGTATCACCCCAGTCTCCGCCTGAGTCTCAGCAGGAGCATTTCCGTTCGCAGACCCAGTAGGCAGTCTGCTCACAAGGAAGGTCATTCCACGTCCGATCTGTGTTCATGCTACCACAGTCCTCTTTGTGGTTGTTGTTGGGTTCGTTGCGGTTCCAGAAACTGGATGGGGGGAAAGGGGAGGAGAAAGAAAAAGGGAATAAATATGTGAAGCCCGAGACATTTTTAGGGCAGTGAAACTGTCCTATGTGATCCCATAATGGTGGTACCTTGACAGTACGCATTTTCAAAATCCATAGAACTGTTCAACAGGAATCTGAATGTTCATGTAAACGCAGACTGTAGCTAATAATAAGGTATGAGTCATATCAATCCAGGGAGTGCTGGTGGCCTAGTGGCGACACGGTGAGCTGCGATCTGAAAGGTCAGCAGTTTGAAACCACCAGCCACGACACGAGAGAAAGATGGGCCTTTCTCTTTCCATAAAGAGTTACAGTCTCTGAGGAGCTGATGCCAGGGGCTTAGTGGAGAGCAGGTGTTGTGAGAATGATGAGGGCAATGAATGTACAGATGTGCTTTACACCATTGATGTAGGTATGGATTGTGATAAGGGTTGGATGAGCCCCTAATAAAACGATTTTTACAAAAAAGAGTTACAGTCTCAGAAGCTCGCAGAGCAGTTCTACCCTGTCTGGAGGGTCGCTCTGAGTCGGCATCGACTCGAGGGCAGTGAGTTTGATTTGGGACCTTTAATATCAGTCGACTGTGACAAAGGAACTACACCAGTGCACCATTACGAGGCCTGTTGCCACAGAGGCAATTAATGCCAACTCAGCCCAGCCTTGTAAGGCCGAGGATTAGAACTGCCCCATAATACTTCCATACCTCTTTCCCATGGAGTGGCTGGTGGGTCTGAACCAACCCCCTGTGGGTGAGCAGCCAAGCACGTAACCACTAAACCATTAGACCTCCCAATACTAATGCAAGCTGTTTGCAGTAGAATACAATTGGTTCATGGGAACTCTCCTGGCGATCTCCTCCGTCTGTCTATGAACCTGAAACTGTTCAAATCAAGACATGAGAAAGCCTATGCTAGATGATGCCCAGCTATGACTACCAATTTCTCTGCTGGTCAGTAGAAGGCCCTGGCTGGAGTGGAAGAAAAATCATAACTAACATCTTTGAAAACAGGCGTACTGGTTGGATAGAGACTGGTGAAACACCTGCGACTATGATGCTTATTCATCCAAGTCTGAAACTGACCTCACCCCATGACTCAATTTCCAACCACAGGTCTATAAGGGGAACAAAAATACTAGTGGGGCACACACACCTTAGAATAATCAACCATCTGAAATCAAAAGGGCAGCATTCACCCAATGACAACATTCGGAAGGGTTAGGAAAGAAAGTGGAATGGAAACATTAAACATGGAAGGAAAAATTAAAAATAAATAAATAAACTCTAAAAACAGGAAGGAAATAGAGTAAGTGATGATGGGGTTGCAAGGATTGCAAACAAAATGTGTACAGAAGGTTGAATGGAAAATCAATCTGCTCTGTAAACGCTCATCCAATTCACAATTTAAAAAAAAAGATTAAGAAGTCTATTTGTTTATATAGACTTTTTCTTTAATAATTTTCTTTATATGTAATTACATATCATTTATACTATAGAACTTCTTGGTATATAATCACACAATCATATAGAATAATCATATTTATATAATCATATAGAATTCATTGAGATATAATTATATACATGTACATGTATTCAGGAGAGAGAAAGAGTCCTAAAATGTATATACGAAAGGCTTTTACATTTTAGGACCCTTTCACCTGAATCCCTTTAGCCTTTACCCTTTCTTTCACCTGAATCCCTTTAGCCTTTACCCTTTCTTTCACCTGAATCTCTTTAGCCTTTACCCTTTCTTTCACCTGA